GATGCCCTGAATTTGGACTTTTAGCCTACTTTAACTGTGAGGAAATAAATTTCTCTTTGTTAAAGCCATCCACTTGTGGTATTTCTGTTGTAGCAGCACTGGATGACTAAGATAACAATATAAAAAACTTTAACACACTTGACCATTTGATTCAGAACTTCTACTCTTAGGAATTTGGCCTAAGAAATGTATACTCAAAATAATAGACAAAGATTTGTGTACAAGGGTGTTCACTACAGCATTATTTGTAATTCAGAAAAAATGGAAACAGCACAAATCTACAATAATGGAGGATTTGTTAATGAAATGATAGGCTACTCATATAATAGACTACCACACAGCCGTCAAGAAATATGATCCCATCTGAAATAAGCACGCAAGCAAAGAAAAAGATGTTAACAGTTGTTATCTCTCAGCAGTGGTTTTCCAGGTGACTTAGTGGCACAAGGGTTAAAACACTCGGCTGCTAACCTAAAGGTGGGCAGTTGAAATCTACCAGCAGCTCCTGGGAGAAAGATGTGGCAGTCTGCTTTCCTAAAGGTTTACAGCCTAGGAAACCCATGGGACACTTCTACTCTGTCCTATAGGGTGGCTATGAGTCAGAATGGCGACGGGTTTGGCTTTGTTACTTTCTTTACTCCTTTCTGTATTTTCCAAATTTCCTTCAGTGTATACCTCTACTTTCAAAAAAGAGTAAAAAGTTCATTCACTCGTAGCAGTATGGAAGAAGTTAGACAAAAATAACTACAGTTCAGTACAAACGAAATTTAATGCTCTTTACTGTCATTGTAACTCCCAAATATTTGCATCTCTTTTTGCCTCCCGTATCTATTAAACTATGGAAAGAGCAGAAAGAGATGTTCATTCAATTACATTCTCAATTTATTAGGCGGTTCGCGGTAATTTCTCCTCATAATTTTAATGAGCCGTTCTGAAGTTCATATGTCCCTGTCTCTGTTTGATTTGTATCTCCACAGTGATGGATTTCACCACTCTTCTCCCCTCACCTCCCTCCTCCCGTTCCTCCTGTGTTCCAAACCAAAAACTCGTTGCCATCGAGTGGATTCTGACTCAGCGACCCTACAGGCAGAGTAGAACTGCCCCATAGGGTTTCCAAGGAGCAGCTGGTGGATTGGAGCCGCGGAGCTTTTAGTTAGTAACCGGAGCTGTTAACCACTACGCCACCAAGGTTCCCTCCTGCGCTCTGGAGTGTGTATAATGCTTTGTTCTTTAGGTCTTCATCATTCAGAAGGTGGCATATAAAAGTTGCATAATGCAAACTATAGCCACTGCCATCAAGTCGATTCCCACTCATAGCGCCCCTTTAGGACAGAGTAGAACTGCCTCACAGGGTTTCCAAAGAGCGGCTGGTGGACTGGAACTGCCGACCTTTTGGCTAGCAGCGGTATCACTTAACCACTGAGCCACCAGGGCTCCAAACGCAACCTATAGTCATTGATCAAAAAGTTCTCATTGCAATAATTCCCAAATCATATCATATAACCAACATCTGCAGTACTCTACTGTCTAATACAATTCATTAAAGGCTTTCAGTCTTGTTGAATCTGGCACTCAGCAGTCTCAGCACCACCTCAGGAGCTAATGCATAGTCTACCTCTCTCTGGAAGCAGCGTTCTACCTTTATGGGACAGGAATCAGCAAGCACATTCTCTCTGAGCTTCCCAAGAGAAGAAGAGGTATGGGGGAGGAGGCCGCGCAGGTTGCCAAATCCATTCAAGCACGCTCGACACAGACTAACCCATTAAACTAAAGGTTAGGAAGCCACCAGAGCCGACTAAAAACGCCCAGAATTCTGACGCGAATTAGACCAAAAGCAGAACTCCTATGACACTGGGGCTTCTACAAACTTCTTGAGGGCATCTGTTGTAGGTTCTCTATCTTACCTTCTCTCTCCCTCGCATCTCCTATTGCTTAGCCCTCTCCTTTTCCCCATTTTGTGTCCCTTGCCCAGCAGAGGCACTAAGAGCATTGACCCCAGCACTCATGGAGAGTTTGCCGGCCCGTGAATTAAACCAGCACTTCGTAGCCAGACCTCTGCTTGAGCCAATGAAGGCAGCTATGCTTGGGCTGCCATCTCAGAAATGCTTCTTCAGAGCTATGCAGCTAAAGGGAGGCTACGTTTGACAAAGCGCAGCACGGGCTCAGGCAAAAGACCCAGGCGACGCACCAGATTATAACCCGTGGGGGTGGGGGACGGAGCGGGGGAGGATGGGAAGACGTGAGAAAACCGGACAGTAAGTACAAGGAAGCCCAAACTAAGCAAACTCGGCTGCGCAAGCGCGTCGCCTGAAGCACGTCTCCGGCGGCCGCACCACGACGCTTGCGCACAGACGCCAGGGAGGGGAGGGGAGGGAAGGGGGATGGCAAGAAGCACTTCGGCCTAGCGCTCCCACCTCCTCAGCGACCCTCGGCCTGCAAGCCCCGCCTCCTCCAGCTGCTCGCTTTCCAAACAACCCGGTGCGCGGCCGGCGCTCTCCGTCGATTGGCCCTTGGCCTTTTCCGTTTCCGCCCAGCCCTCCACAGTCCACCAATCAGCTTGTGCGTTTGGGTAAGGTGCAACCTCCGAGGCCGTGGCTTCTGGTCCTCTGCCTCCTCCAGCTGCTGCCTCCGCTGCTGCCTCCTCCTTCCCCACCTCCTCCGCCAGGCGAGCGTCTGCGGGGGCCCGAGGGGCGGCGGCGGCGGCGGCGATATGGAGCCGGGGGTCGGCAGCCGAGGCGCTGCTCGCGGTCAGGGGGCCGGGCCCCCGAGCAGTCCGCCGCCCCAGGAGCAGGAGCGGAAGCTGGAGCAGGAGAAGCTCTCCGGGGTGGTGAAGAACGTCCACCGGCGGCTCCGCAAGAAGTACCGGGAAGGTAAACAGCGGGGGGCGGGGAAGGCCTAATCACCCCCACCCCTTGTCACTTCTCCTCTCTCCCGAAGAAAGAAGCCACCATTGACACTTACAGGAGCTGCACGTCAGCCCCTGCCGCTCTCCCCGGCCGGACACCCCTTCTCGTCTGAGCCCTCAGCCGGCGTTAGGCACGCTTCTCCCGCCCCCTTTTCTTCGAGGGCCTTTGGGGAGAGTTTCGGGCCTGTGGAGGCACTGAGTCCCCAGCCGAGGTGCTGAGATGGTTGTCACCACACACATATACAGACCATGTTCACAGAGGAGGTAGGGGCGGCTTGTTGCGAGCGACTTGTAAGGTAATACACGAAGACAGGCAAAATCCATTTGTGAAAGACAGACTGAAAGAAGCCTAGTTGCCTCTCTCTCTCTCTTCTGCTTGACCAGCCTGTTGTTTCAGTTGCTTCCCCGTCAGCCAGCTTTTCGTAGTACCCCATTGCTACGGGTTTAGCCGGGGGCCCTGCCAGAGCTTCCTCGCTTTGGTTTCCAGGGCTGCGAAGTTAGCAGGCCTTTTAGCTGGCTGGACTTCACCTTGTTAAAATGGGGAGGAGCTACATTCGTGCTCACCCCTCTCCCCCTTCCTCAAATGCTTCATTTTAGTGTTTATTTAGGCAGGGGAGATAGGGCAGGTTCTCAAAATACTTGCGAGTTTTGAATAATCTATCACTACTAGGCCTCCTAGGACACTGATGCCGGTGAGGCCGGCCATTGGTGGGAACCCCTTCCACGGAAGAGCAGAAGCAAGGGAAAAAGCTTAGTAACCTTTGATTGTGCCTTTTAGTAGTGCTTATAGTTGGAGTCCACAGTTATCCTTGATATTTTTAAATATAGTTTGTGTTTTCCTTACAGATCTATCTTATAAAGCTTTGATGGTGAAAATTCCCAGTTTTTTTGTATGCTCAAGAGAAATTTCTAAGTATCAAAATGAAGGGCTCACTTTCTAGTGGCTCTCGCTTTAGGTTAATGCAAACTGAAAAGTCAGCAGTCTTCTAGTGTTTTATACTTAGTTAATAATTTAGGATTAGAAGCAAAATTATGACAGCGAAAGAACAGAGACATGTAGTATCATGTTACTTCTGATTTACACACACTTTTCAGTTACTCTAGCTGCTTGAAAACTAAGTATCTTTTGTTTCTTTTAATGCAGTTGATGTGTTTCATTTTGCAAACTTCAAATTCAAAGTTATCTTTCCTTGGCAACTTAAGCCTAGCTTTTAATAGTGGCAGCTTACATAGCACCAAAGGTGACCTATAGTTATTGTTTAATAGGTAGGAATAGAAAGAGACTTAACGGGCATAGATAAGATGTTGAAATCTGTTTTTTAAAAGGATGCTTTAAACCCCAACCCACAGCTTAATAAAATGAGTAGTTACCATAGCAACAATTGCATCATTCTTGATCTTCAGAGAATGTACTTACATAATGGCATTTATTGTAGATTTTTATGTTGTTTGGAGAAATGAGGAAATAAATGGACACTGCCCTGCAATGTATCATGCTATTTTGTACAAACTTAAGTACATTTAAAAAAAAATTAGCATATAATTGTTTGTTTTTACCTTTTTATAATAATTTCTTATTTATAAATGACTAGGTTCCACTTAAATTAACACACTACTAATGTGATATCTCAAGTACTGTTTATACTTGCTTAGTTCCCACATGTTTAAACATGTCTTTAACCCTGAATATTACCCACGAGAACATTTGTCTATGATGAGAATTGGAAATTGGAAGTCATCATAGCTAAAAAGATACATGTAGTTCAAAAGTGAATGAGTGTGCTTCTGGGCAGTCTGTAAACATTTGAATGAGACTGTATTTTAGGCATTTAATGCCCTGGATTCCACCAATGATCTAGACTTCTCTAGGCTTTGCTGCAGTGATATACAAAAGCCCCAACAGTGAACTAGCAGAGTAAATGATCTTAATGAGCATGCCCTTTCTACCTTTATCTGATATGTTGGTCGAATCTTGGTTGTGAAAAAGCCAACTGTAAGAGTATGTCTACGTAATAGTCGTAAATAATATTTTTTTAGTGTTTTTGTTTGGTTCTTAGTATTGTTGTAATATTGGTGGTCTCCAGTCTGTCAACATGTTTTACAAGTTCATTTGCAGGTCAGCTTTGGTCATAAGACAATAATATAAATGATACTTGAGTGCTAGGTCATCCCACAAAAGCCTCGTTAATCCATTACATACCTGAACTATAGTCCAGTAACTACGGAAACTACTCTCATTTTATAGCAGTAGTCCTGCCAGAAAATGCAGTGAAAATTCCAGCTTGGAATGTTGGAATAGAAGGAATCTTAACATTTATCAATAATTCCCAGACATGGCTGATCAGCAGATTTATCTGAGTGCTTTTCAGAAAATCCCTGCATTCCACCACCGATCTGTAGTTTCAGAATCCTTGCCATTACAGCATGGAAACTTGTCAGCCATATTTTAGAGTAGTGATCTAAAGTAGCTCCTTCATTTCACAGATGAACGAGCTGATTCGCAAAAAGATTAAATGACTTGCTTGAAGATTGGACGGTTCATCACTAGCACTATATATACTTTATGGGAATAAGAGTTATTTTTTCCCAATTCCAAGCCTGATGTTGGTGACTCCAAATATTGGTAGAATGGAAGGAAAAACGAGAGACAGCAAGTAGTTCTAGAATTTGTGTAAGGGAGGAGGATATAAATTGATGGAAATGGGTGCTCAGTTAGGTACGTATGATTAACTGAGTTGGGACTTTGTGAGGTGTAATTTTTTTAGAGAGAGATGACGGAAGGAAGGAAGTGGAGATGGAGTGAAGAAGGAGGTGAAACATTGCAATAGTAAGGACAGGAGTGAAGACTGGATAATGAGTCTGGGGTTCTTATCGCTGGTAGTGGAGTTGATATGAAGCAGAAAGAAGAATGAAAATGAGGTTCTTCTGCTGTGGTAGTAAAAGATTGCTCCTTGTCTTAGTTATCTAGTGCTGCTATAGAAATGCCACAAGTGGATGGCTTTAACAAAGAGAAATTTATTTGCTCACAGTAAAGTAGGGTAAACGTCCAAATTCAGGGCATCAGCTCCAGGGGAAGGTTTTCTCTCTGTGTCAGCTCTGGAGGAAGGTCCTTCTCATCAGTCTTCCCCTGGACTAGGAGCTTCTCCGAGCAGGAACCCCAGGTCCAAAGGACGTGCTCTGCTCTTGCCACTGCTTTCTTGATCATATGAGGTCCCCCTGTCTCTCTGCTTGCCTCTCTCTTTTATATCCCAAAAGAAATTGGCTCAAGACACAATCCAGTCCTGTAGATTGAGTCCTGCCTTATCAACACAACTGCTGCCCATCCCCCCTCGTTAACATCATAGAGGCAGGATTTACCACACATAGGAAAATCACATCAGATGACAAAATGGTAGACAGTCACACAATGCTGGGAATCATTTCCTAGCCAAATTGATACACATATTTTTGGGGGACACAATTCAATCCATGACACTCGCTTAACTCCCACCCTTCCCCAATCCATTTGTCAAGCTGATGCTTATTGATGGTGATGAACAGACTTGAGATGGGGTCTGGGGAGTGGTGGGTAGAGTTTTGAAGACCACTAGATTAGTTTTATGTACTCTTGTACTGCCTTTTTCCTTTCTACTCCCATTTTACTGCCTGTCCTGTGTCACCACTTAAGAGACCCTGTGCTACTTTGCATAACGGTAAAGTGAGAATCCACGATAAAAGTCGGTGTTCCAAACACTACTGTTGTCTGAAGTAGTTACCAAGAGATAAGGAAATGACTAGGAGTGGTGATGAGAAGAGGTGTTTTAGTGTCAGCCATTTATAGATAGGAGATGATTCTTTAGGTTGAGTTTATAAATGTGCTTGCCATATATAGGTGTCTTCCATCTTTGCTGTACAGAATTTTTAAAATTTGACCTCCACGTAAACCAAAAATATTTTTAATATATCATAAGAGGTGTAGATAGTTTTTTAATAAGAAACAGCTAGTTTTGCTTCCCAAACAGGGACTTCATTGTTTAATCAGATCTGCCTGATAAGTACATATCAAATTGAGAACTGAAGTAGAGCCATATGTATTTTCAGTTGCCTTTGTGTGATTTCTTTCCATGATCCTATTTGTATATAATTATTATTATGCTTGACATTTTCTTTTTCTAAACTTTAAAGTATTCATGTAAAAACACCAGGAAAATATAAAAGGATACAACTGTCAGCAGTAAAGTACAATCTCCATTTCATTTAGTTTTGATTTTTTTAACCTATCTTGTGAGTGTCTTTAGCAAATTTCATCGGTTTATTCATTCCCTAATTTTACTTATTCTATATGCTAAGACAGATTAAAAGTTTATTATGTAAGCCCATGAAGTTTATACATCAATCAGAGAAAAATAAAAATACATCTAAACAGTTACTAGTATTATCAAGATCATGGGATTATAGGTGATCTTTATTATACTTTTCTACATTTTTTAAAATCAGCATTAGTTGCAATGATAATATCATAAAAGTAGTTAACAGATTACATAAACAAAACAGATTACTGATAAGAAGCAGGAAAGAAGAACTCAGGATAAGTTGGTTCTGTAGACTGAGTCCAGAAAAAATGGTGTTATAAAGGTTAACAGTTGTGAGCATCATTTTAAGAGTCAGGGACTAAATAGCCTAATTTAGACGTTTAATTATTGATTATTCAAATTCATCTTCATAGTTTAGGGCTAATGGTGAGCTAGAGTAGCAGTTTAGGATAAACTGAAGAGAATACATTTACAATAGATTATTTTCTAGCAAGCACCAAAAATAAGCAAATTTGAATTAGAAATAATTTTAAACTAAAAACCAAAGCGTGTAAAACAATGAATGTAATTTTAATGTTTTTCTTGAAACAAAATCTTGAATTTTTTTTAATAAATCAGAGTAACAGGCTATTTTAAACTGACTTTTTTGCCTTCTTCTTCGGTGACCCTTCAA